CCATAAAACTGTTTATGGTTTCATATTAAACATGTAAATAATCTACAGTCTTATTATGTAAGTTAACCCTTTTTTATGGACATTTTATCTTTCAATTGACAAAACCACAAGCATTGTTGTTTGCATTAATGTTTTATCACTATGTAGGCCTGCTTGGTTTCAAATTATGTCATTGCATTTTCTGTATCTTTGTCTTATATTGTTGGCTATTCAGGTTTCAATGTTTTTTGTTTCCCATATATTTATTTATTGAGTTGTATGCTTTAAGCAATCAAAATCTTATGAACTATAATGATGATAGTAACTTTGCTGCTATTATAACCTCATTGTTTGTTACTCAGTTTATATAGGCCCTCCTAAATAATTAGGTCTAGGCCTGGGTATTTTGATTCTTGAAAGAGCTGTATAATATATTAAGAAAATGTAATTGAGCCTAAGATAAACAACTAATGATAGCTATGTGTCGATATTAACTTTACAAATGAAAATACAATAATCTTACTCTGTGCTTATTGCTTATTAATAGCCGCTTACCATACCTTGATTTTGTACTAAGAATTGAGTAACAATATGCATTAAAGATTTTTTTTTTCAAAAGTAGTCGAGATCCTAACGTTGTGCCAGGGCGAATCATGCCAAATTAATCCGCCTGGATCGGATAAGCTATGTTATGAAGTTTACGTGATGGATGGAGATATTTGTCGCTATCGCAGGAGACAATGATTGCGTTTCTCTGTTACACTATAAAAGCTTTACCTAAAGTATAGGTAGGCCTATGTTTGTTTACTTTCAATAAATTTCTTTTTTGTAATTTTTAACTCTTATCTATTATTATTTACTTTTCTCTCTGGTACAACTACAGTGAATAACAAGATTAATACAGTTTGACAAATCAGGAAAATTATTCGGTAGGCCTAATGACACCGACAAAGGTTACGGCAAAGTGTCCTTAAATGTACGGGAATTGTCCATGAATTTTTTATCCAGAATGTAGTAGACACCCTGTGTTATGTAATTAATTAAGTGTTATGAATTATTTGTAGACTAATTATTAAAAGTTTCAAATACCTATATATAAGTCAAACTAATCCTTCGATCTTCCTCAATATATAATATCCTTATCAAAAAATTATACTTTGTAGGCTATATCCTGGAAAATAAAGGTACTTACGTATTATACGGAGGCCACTTATTTTACAGCGCGCTGCGGCGGTTGGGTTAAGTTGGGTTATCATAAATATGTTTGTAGAACTTTCCTAGTTTCGTTATGAATCGAACTATACGAGATGAGTCATAAAAACTTATGATAACCCAACCTAACCTAACCGCCGCAGCGCGCTGTAAAATAAGTGGCCTCCGTATAATACGTAAGTACCAAAATAAATTATGAAAATCAATCTGCCAATATTTAGGCAAACATTCTAAATAAATGTTGAAACAGACTTTGTTAAATTAATAAGCATGTTAGTTAAAATGCAATATTTGAAAATACATATAAAATACATATATTTTTTACTTTTGTATAAACAATGTTAACAAGTCATTAGACACTTTTTTTTAAACATATCCTTATTCTAATTACTGTTCGTATCCATCCGTAGTATTATCTAAATTTCTCGACCAAATAAATAAATAAATATATAATAAATATTAATTAAATGAATATTGTAACTATGTTACTCGTTATTTCCATACATTATTAAAAATATAGGAGGAAAAAAAATAATTGTATGCCATTCTAAATATACAGGTAGGCCTATATAGAGCCATGAACAAAAATAGTAATTTATGCGCAATGTTAAATTACTGAAGATTTTCAAAACTTATATTTCTTCTACAAATAATTCAACAATAATATTTACATTTATTTACATAGATCTATTTACATTCTCCTTCACCTTGGAAACTGGACCAAAACAATTTAATGTTTGTCCTATTATGAGGAAATAACCCGGGCGTTTGAAAGCAACAGTGACAGACGATTTACCGCGCACGGTTTAGCTAGATGCTCTGTACGATTCGGAAGTGTTCATCACTGCGCGGTGGTGAGGGGTTGTTCCTCCAGAGAAGAACTAGTTGCAGGGTGCAGGTGCACTTGTAGACATGTTCAAGGGTGCATGCACGACGCTCCGTTCGCGTTGATGTTGAATCCTGTGAGCGCCTCTGCCGCACCGTGACCGCTGGCATCACACCATGCCGGCATCCGGCTTCACTACTAAACCGACGATTGCCTTTAAGATGTGTATACTTTATTAACATGTTATAGAGATTTTACATTTTTACATCAAGAAATAACCCGAGAATTATAGCAGTATAACATAAGTTCTAGCATTGACTATTATTAATAGTCAAAGGTTCTAGCTAAAAAAAAGTAAAAAAAAAATATTTTTTTTTTTAAATGCTTAACGGTTAGGCCTACAGGTATCACACTTAATCACATTAACGAACACATTTTACTGCATCTAAATTAGTTTTTTGTACATCTGTATATCTTACCGTTCTCAAGCATTGCACGTTTAAGCGTGGTTTAAAGTAATATTCACCCCTCCCCCCTTTTTTCTTTATACCGGAAGAAGCACACAGGGGACAGTAGGGGACTTTTAGGATATGGTCAAGGATATCATAAAGAACATCTGTGCCAAAATTCAGCTTTATATCTCGCATTTCCGGGTATCCATGGTTTTTTACCTAGATTGACTGGGCTATAGCAGTAACCAGATGTTTCGCGGTACCAGGGCGCCACTTTCCTCCTCTCCCGCGCACCACACACCTCTCCTACGCTCCCCCCATTGTTTTGCCAAGATCTCAAAATGGCTCATAAATATATCAGCGACAAAACATGAAAGAGGATTCCTCATTGCCGTACCATTAGTTTGGGAGTAGAATTTATCTTGAAAAACAAACGTTGTTTGAGAAAGGTTTATCAAATTTAAGTATTCTTGTACTTTTTACATGTCTGGAATATATGAAATTAATTGTAATGATTGTAACATGAAATATATCGGCCAAACAAAAAGAAAAATCCAAACCAGATTCAAAGAACACTAAGCTCATACAAAATAAAGAAGACCTGAAAAATCAGCCCTTGCTAGCCACAGTATTAATACAGGACACATTTTCAATTTGGGAAACCTTAAACTTTTGAAACAAATTATAAAACCACAACATCTTAATGCGTGGGAATCCTATTTTATAGAAAAAAACAGATCAGAATGATTTGTTAAATACGGTAATGAAGATGGCCCAATTATGAACTCGGAATTACTTAAAATAATTACATCAAGAAAAACACTGTAATAATATATCCAAATTTCAAAAGATTATTTTTTCATATATTTTTCCAATATCCTCTTCATCATCAGTTTTAACTTTAAGTTTAGTTTTAACTTTTGTTTTAATCAATTTATTATTGTAAATATTTACTTTTTGTATCAGTTTAAACACAACCTGACGATGGAAACATAGTTTCTGAAAGCGCTTGTGGATTAAAATAATTTATTATATATTGGCCTTGTTGAACTTTTAAATTTAACTATACATTGGCCTTGTTGAACTTTTAAATTTAACTATACATTTCACTATTCATTGCCAATATCTCCAATATAAGTTATCAATACTTTTCTTAACAATTTAAAACGTCAACATTTCAGTGTTAGTTTGCAGAAAGATAACCAGTTGTTAATTAAACTAAATTTTGTAATGTAGGCCTACACTAAATTTCAAGGTGCAAAAGGCCAAAGTATATATTTTTTAATTCCACAAGCACTATTATATATTGCCTTTTGTACCTTAAAATTTAGTATTACATTACAATAATTTATCAGTATCTCCAATATATGTTTTTTTAACTTAATTATATTGCTCTGTAACAAACTTAAAATGTTAGATTCGGCTGCTAGTCTTTTTCAAAATTAAAATTCAATATCTGAAAAACAGAAAACTGAAATTAAAATTATGACTTTTGACATTTCCTTTCTCTCAAAATTACAGAAGATTCAACGAAATCTGTCAAGTGATTGATTCAAAATCTGTGAATGAAAACAAACTTCAACTAACCACAACTGAGTACGCTGGGTCTCCTGGTAATTAACTAGCATAAAAATAAAATTCAACAGATGTAATCAGTTGAATTTATTTATATGCCAATGCGACTGGTAAAATCGTAGACAATAAAGCACCCCTCACACTATCCAACATGTTAGTCGAGCATGTCGGGATCCAACGTCTTGTCAAACATATTCGACATTCTGTGGGTTCCAACCCGACATGCTCGACGGATATGTCAGGTCGGGTGCTCGGTCCGGTAGCACCACCTGACTCAAGCCGTCCGCCTGACATGTTGGAATGTGTGTGGGAAACCGTCGAGGCGCTGCTCGCCCGACTAGCCACAGTTTCCAGTTGTGTTGTGACTTATATTTTTATGAGTTGAGTTGTGTTGTGAAGTTATTGTCCAAAGTGACTGGTGAACACTTTTGAATTCCATAAAGTCATTTGATGATAATACAAAAATCTGGTAAAAGTTCGTTGAACTGTACAGAGACCAAAAGGCATTATAGGACGTCAAAAGTAAACTGTATTGTAACAAACATGCGTGTAAAGAGGGGTACGATATCCTTAGGAGCTTAATGTGGCTAAACTTGTTTCACTCCAACAACCACTGCTTTGACCAACACAAAAATCCAGCACAAACAGCTACAGTTGTCTCAAAATTCATCTCAAAACTGATACTATACCTGACTTGTTTGGTAATATGCTCGACAGTATGTGGGAAACACCCGACATTGTCAGGTTGGATGCTGGGTCCGTCACCAGGTCGGGTCCGGCGGTATGTTCGATAGTGTGTGGGGGGCTTAAAAGTTCCAAAGGCTACAAATTTGACTAAACGCTGCCATTTAAATGACAAATTTAAAACTTCTTATTTGGTTGAAGTGTTGCATAAAGTGTCAATAAATAAAGTATTTACAAATGTTCAACTAATTGATTGTATTTTTTGGTTTCAGGATACAGAAAGAGCTGGCTGAGATCACGTTAGATCCTCCACCCAATTGCAGGTAATAATGTCTTTTGTTTGCTTTACCCAAGTGTTGTCAATGTAGCGTTATTAACTCATGCAATCATATGGCTTTCAGCGCTGGTCCCAAGGGTGATAACTTGTACGAGTGGGTGTCAACCATTCTCGGACCTCCAGGATCTGTATATGAAGGAGGGGTGTTCTTCCTAGATATACACTTTTCACCAGAATATCCCTTTAAACCGCCCAAGGTAAAATTTATATTTTATCTGTCATACTAAACATTTTCTTTATAATTACACTTAAAACTATTAGCCTATAAAAATGGCGGTTGTTATGTAATGGTGGCTCTATAAATTAATACCAACACTTAACATATTCAAATACTAAATGTTCTTATGAAGTACAATATAATGGTTGTTTGTGGATCTAAAACTTATTTAACTAGCAACAAAACCCGGCGTTGCCCGGGTCTAAATAAATTACCAACTACAACAACTACAATTACCAATTACAATAATTTATATAATTGTACAAATTACCTAGGTCAATTTAATTTTTCCTACAGTCACCCGACAAAGTTGGTTTCCTTGTACTGTTTATAGTACAGAAAGCTGCTAATTGCTGCATATTTATACTTTGTCGTACGGTTTATACTTTGATGCATATCAGGATTCCAACGAAACAACACAAAACAGCGTCGTTCTATTATGCACGTAATCCGTGTACGCTTGGAAATAGGTTGGCAACACTTAAAGATAATAATACTATGAGCAGCTGATTGACTAGTATAACTACGATATAACCTGTCATTTCGTGTTTATAGTCTTAATATATCTAATTCCGTAAGCCCAAAATTTTACAATGAAATTGTGAGCAAACGGGAGGCCGTAGAAAGTTGGGAGAGGTCTCATTTTAAAGGTCTGGGCATGAAATTTTGGGGAAAATTATTCATTTTTCTTAATTATGCACCAATAGGTTGTTACAGAATAAATTAATTTACATTTAAATAGCATGGGAATCTAATTTTATGTCTTTATTTAGTGTAAACACAGCTGTGATCATATAAATTGAAAAAATTATAACCACACCTGAATGTCATTATTTTGTTATTGTAAAAATTGTTAGTGAAGTAGTAAATAACACAAATTAAAAATTAGATCAAATTTTGAACAAACAATTTTATACTTTTAAACTTAATACTTTACAATGGATTGTTCTTTTGCACAGTAATAATGTATAAGTCGGAAGACTACCATGCAGAGGTATTATATTCCTTGAAATGAGAACAGGCGCCAGATTTTGCACGATATTAATGAATGAAGAATTATGGCGGTCAGCGAGAGAATTTGAAGATGGAGCTGGAATTCAAAATTTTTTTGTTTAAAAATTAATTGTTTATTTCTAATTTTACAGTCCTCTACTCTTTTTTGTAAAATTTCTATTGTAATAAAAAAAAAAAGAATAAGTGAGCATGAATATCGGATGAACATGAATTTATTCCTGTGTATAGAACACCACTTTTAAATGAGATTGCATTACACAGGGTAGGACCAATGAACGATGTGTGATTTATTGTGGTGCATTGTGCAAAATTTGATTAGGTGAAATTGTGGTGCAAGGCCGAACCTTCACAAAAGTTGGCATTTATTTAAAAACAACCCCAGTGTTTTACCCATGGTCAACTTTATGTTGCTTTTAAATGGGTAAAGAGGCCAGATGATTTTTAAATAGTTCTAGAACCAAATAAAGACCAAGGAATTGACCGAAATGGATACTATACAATAAATGTTGTTTCAGAGAGATTTTGTTATAGAATTAGCATTTTACAATTTGGATGATGGCATTATCTCTATGTGTTATTCTAAGTGAATTTGTCTATATTTAAAGAAATCTATATAGAGATCTATAGACAGAGCAGACATCAAAATGCATTATGCAGTTATGTAATACCTATTATACATATCATGATATCCAAAAAAATTAAATGATAATTCAAGGTAGGGTAACCCATGGGACTAATAATTTATACAAAATAATTACTAGAATATAGGGGCTATTGTCCCTACAAGCCACTAGTTTATGTTCTCTTTTCGGTATTTCTGAACTTTATGGACTTTTCAATAAACGTTTTTGAAACATTCCTACGATCTTAATAAACAAGAAAATACCTTTAAAGCATTTTGTTAGGCGCGGAAACCACTGCAAATTACAAAAATATACGGAACTATTTTCTCAAGTCGCGGAGCACATTGCTTGTCGAGGAAAAATAGCGGAGTGATACGGACCGGGTACTACTTTCTCTAGGGCACCTATTTGTGTTGCCAGCTGAACCTTAAAACGTGTTGTATAGTGTTTGAAAGACTAATTGTTTATATGCTTTAGTGACTGTAGGAAAAATATAATGTATAACACGAGTGCAAAAGGCCTTTGCTGCACTCGAGATCATTCTACGATCTCGTAGAACGTGAACGTTGCTCTCGTGTGCAGCAAAGTGCCACTTTGCTCACTAGCTACACAAATAACTATTGTATGTCTTAATAAAAATCGCTCGTTTAAGCACTTCATTTTACAATTTTGCTCCTTTGCTGGGGGGTATTCCATACCCCTGGTGACCCCCCCCTGAATATAGGTCTGGGACTGCCCTTGCAACACAAAAATAGTAGTGTCGAAGAGATTGTGTTTCTATTATTTTACAGTTAATTTTGTAATTTGTGTTTTAATTTTTTGTAATATAATCAGGGGACAAGCTATTGTTTACGATTAATTACCGTAATTTTATTTGGTTAAACGAGTTTTTAAATGACTGAAATAACAAAAATTATCTTCAGCTGATACGTAAGAATGACGAATCTACTAAGGGAGTATGTTTAACCTATGTTATGACACACTGTACAGATTTCATGTTTTTCGACCTGAAATTGGAAGCCACTGCAATGCTCTACGGGTTGGATAGTTTTTTAAGACCAGAACCAAGTAAATTGTTCAAAAATTGAATCTATAGGTCAGGCCAAGCAGTCTTGATGATTCTTTGTTCTTGTTATGGTTTTTCCCAGTTAATTTAAAAGTTTTGTACTATCACTGATGCTTTATCCTTTTAAGATTCATTTAACTTTATTTTCTGTAGCCTATTTAATATTTTATATAACATTTGTAACAAAACGTGTAACAAATGTGACCTTGTCTATTGTAATTTTTATATTACCAAATGACAATTAATAAAGATGTATTATTATTATCTATAATATTAAAACGAAACAATGTTTTTTTATTTCACGATTCTGAATCAACCACTCGACGGATTTTCATGATTTTTGTGCTGAAAGAAAGATAATTTTGAGAACTAAGGAATGTCGAAGCCATAATTTTAGTTTTGGGTCCCAGTTTTTTAGAAATTAAGTTTTAATTTTTAAAAAGTCTTGCAGCCGACGCTAAGATTCTAAACTAGCTTTTGGCATAAAATAATTTGCTTAACATAACAGGCTAGCTTTACAGCTTACAGCTGCTGTAAACATTCAGCTTTTGTGACACAAATTCAGCATTTGGATAAAAATGTAAAGACATACTTAGGGTTGACTTATTTATACTATGTGTAATGCTAATCATTGATACGTTCAATTCTTCTGTAAGAGGATGACAGATTAATTAAATATACATAGTAAAATACTAGGATGTTCAAATTATTTTTTAAAGCAATCTTTGTAATCTTCGATTTGTTTTAGAGCAATATAATTTGTTTTAACTAACAGCTGGTTAAATATAAACTATGGAACTACGAGGTTATTTTATTTACTCTTATTTTGTCATTGATTATAGGAAATAAGTAAGATTAGTAGAGATAATTAGACCACAGTTTTAACCAAAATTAATTAAACCACAGTACAAATCGAGGCTCTGTACACGAGTCTTAGTAAAAAAGGATATATGCAAATTATTTTACTGCTCCACTTTTCAAGGAAAGATTAGAAAAATAACAATGTTTACATGTTTTAATTCTTTATGGTAGCTTTTTGTTTACAATTAATGTTTGTCTGCTTTAACTTTGTTTGGATTAGGCCCGGAAATATTGATGTCATAAAAAGAAGATCAAGAATAATCAGGAATCACGATTTTAAATTACCACCACAACCTCAGCCGGGTTTTATACAAAGATAAACAGATGGATGACATAGATTGAACACAACGTCAACATTGACCTAGGATACTTCAATTAGACAAACCATCCTTTTATGAAATCGTGTCCAGTTGTGGTTACGTTTGGAGGCGCCTATATCAGCGCCCCCAAACGTGAAAATATCACTTTTATTTCAACTATGGATATATTGTACAGTCTAACCTTGATATAACGAATTCCTTGATATAACGAATGTTTTTTAATCCCTTAGAACTCTCTATAAGACACAATGTATATTTTACCTCTACATAACGAACAAACCATAACAACGACCTTGATTTGACAAATTTTTTTGTGATTTCGGCTAAAATAAGACACCTCAATATAACGAATTTATCATTTTTATAACCTCTACATTGCGAATTTAACCTCTGCATAACGTATCTACGTCTTTCCCTCGATATAACAAATCCCCCACCCAATTATTGTTTTGGGAAAATCTGTTTCTTTATCAAATGGAATGGAAAGGTCACGTCATCGCTTGCGCTATCATTCGTCTGCTCCGTTTTACATCTTTGTCTGCTGTCGCTGCGCGCGCTATGTTGCAACTTGCAACTGAGAACTGATTTCATTCACTGAGGACTGATGACGACGTAATGTTTAGTAAGCTGTTATTGGGCGATATGGGATAACTATGGTGAATTGTACAATTTTTGGTTAAAGAGAAACCTAAGAAAGAATATAAAAACAAAACTAAAGAGAAAGAATAGCAACATCGTTATTTTAAAATTCCTTTTACGAGTGTTTTTATTATCCTTAATTTGGCTATGATTATACACTTTTATAATGACTTATATAATAATTTATTGTTTTCAATACGATTTGTTTCAACTAGCAACACCAATGCTATAGTTAATGATTATTATTGACATTCCTCTGTTGTGATAAATCAGTACTGTACTGTAAGTAGCCTACCGGCCTATCGCGAGCAGTAGCTTACGAAACTTTCTACTGTTTTGTTCTTTACGTGGTTTATGACTACGCAAACGCAATACAGTGTTTGGTTAGGTTTTTGGAGGGTTAGAACAAGCTGTGATATTAATCTAACAGTTTTTAACCTGTACCAAGGTCAATGCCATTGTCATGATTGCGCAATATTCAAGATCCCTCCCCTTTATTATGCCGGATAATTTAGGTTCTACTGTACAATGTAAACACTGTACTGTAAAGTATTGTAGCCTATGCTACTTTAATTGTACTGTATTTTAATGAGGTCAAATCCCGACCTATATTGTCCGACGCTGGTTCTGAACCTCGACTTAGCGAAATTCCTGCAAACCTAACCTCTATATAACGAACCTCGTTTTAACGAAATCCTTGATATAACGAATATTCAGTTCGGTCCCTTCAGATTCGTTATACTGAGGTTGGACTGTAGTTTAAATTAACTAATATGGGAAATTACGATGTACGTTTATTCAATGAGGGTGGCAGGTATGCTATGGAAGGTGGTATCGTTGACTAGGTCTATAAACTTCTCAATTGACTATTACTCTCTCTACCGTAGGCTACTTATAATCAGTGTGCGTCTGTGCGAATCGGCTGCAAATCTCACTTCAACGCTTTTGACATCGTAAAAATTGCAGAATTGCTGTTTTATTGTAAAATTATCGGATTTAAAATGCATATCGTATAGGCCTATGATGGAATAAAAACATATTTATTTGGTCACACAACATTTGTTTACAAGATGATTTTTCACATTAAAACTGCAAGAAACTTTGCCTTTATTTGTGTAAACTAGCTGATCTGAATTGTACACGGTTTTAACTGACTACTGAATTCCCGTACGTAGGGCGGGCTAACACCAATTAATAAAGATGTATTATTATTATTATTATTATTAAAAACTTGCAATGATACAATTGCATTGTGGAGTGGTGTTTAAGCAATTAACATGTAGGCCAGATATAGTTTTTGATAGAGGTTTTTAAGAAAGTAACCAAACTAGGAGGCGAAAAAATTATTGTGCCTAGGGGCGCCAAAATTCTAAATCCACCCCTGTTTATGAAAGGGGTTTACCGTGTTATAACTTTAGACTTCAGATTTCATTGCCCACCAGGTTACTTTCCGCACAAGGATATACCACTGTAACATCAACAGCCAGGGAGTGATCTGCCTAGACATCTTGAAGGACAACTGGTCGCCAGCTCTGACCATATCCAAGGTTCTGCTCTCAATCTGCTCTCTCCTCACTGACTGCAACCCAGGTAACATTATGTCAGTGGCGGTGATAAGAACCCCCGCAAGTTTGTTCACTGGCCCCCGCTCGCCCATTAATATTTTAAAACATTATCACAGTATTTCCCCCTTAGCTTTCACGGGCATGGCACAGCCTACTCCGAGGCACAGTGGCGTCATCATCGTCTTAACAGTGGCAAAATCCTTAATATCTTCATAGGTCACGGAAATATTACGGTCGTCTTCCTTGATCGTGGTAAAATTGTAAATACGCAGTCACAAAAAGATTATCATTGACCCGTGACAGCAACAAAACCCAGAACATCTCCTCGTCGTCGCGGAGACATCGTCATCGTCACCTAGGGGGAATGTTTTTTTGACATTTGCAATTGCGGCTTAAGCCTGAATCTTTCATCCTGTGGGCATGATTCTCGCTGACATGTTCTGTGGCCGCCATACTCTAAGAATTCAGGAACACCCCTTTGCAAGGAATTGGCTTTAGCTTGGCTCAACTCCTAATGAACCAGAGAACACAAAGCAGACTGCCAATAAATAAGATTTTATTGAAGACACAGGTTCCAGAAAATGTTCAAAATCTTTAGGAACAGAAAAAGAGACAGTATGACCATGGAACCGCGGATCTGCCTCTGTTAAAGAAACAACCCCAACTGAAAAATGCATCTTGGAATGAGGGTAAAGTTATTCATTCACAAGGAAGGGAGGAGAAAGTTCATTGTGCGTCTTGAAGGAAAAGATTACATTAGAAATATAGACACTTTTTAAGAACTTTAAAAACAATTGGGAAACCGGAAGCTGTTGGTAATAGTCATATGTAAATAAACATATTTTCTTTACTTAATTTTGATTGTTTGTTTTGAATTCAGTTTATTTTGAGTTGTGATAATGATAGTTCCATGATGTTACAAATAAATTAATTTGGCATAAAGAATTGTGTTCCTTTATATCAGCAGAGTTATTAACAATAGTATAACAGATTTGTTCACGTTTTTCTTATTTCCCGTTTTTGAAATTTAAGTGTACCTTTATGGCTGAAAACCTGACCTTTGACCGTCAATTTTTCCTAAACCAAAACTCAAAAAAAATTTATTGGCAATAGCTCAAATAAAAATAGATATAAAATTTTTTTTAAATAACTTAAATTTGTAGACACACAGCATTAAAAGATGTTTAAATAGGTAAAAGTACCTTTATGGGTGGTTTGTAACTCCCTGTTGTGTAGTTGTGCCAATAAAATGTAACCAGTGAATGAATGTGTGTTGCAGCCGACCCTCTGGTGGGAAGCATAGCCACACAATACATGCAGAACAGAGAGGAACATGATCGTATAGCCCGTCTGTGGACCAAGCGTTACGCCACGTGATTCGCTTCACACGCCTAGTGGACTGATCGAGGAAATCTTTTCAATTTTATATGTAAAATGTCGGTACTATATAATATTTTATTTCTGTTGTCTGGTTTGTTTTTGTGTTGAGATGAAAGCAAAGGCAATATCAGCACTGTAGTGTTTTAGTGTAAGTTTAATTTTAGATCGGTTATAATAGATGTTAAATGTGACTTTGGAAGAGCATGCATCTGCTTCCTTTGATAGCTTTTGACAGAAATATCAATTATTGAAAAATCTTTACTGTTATAGTTATATTTTTTAGGGATGGTCAAGTCTCGAAATTTCGGGAAATTTTCGGGAAATTTTAAATCTCGTTACACGAGACGAGATTTCTTTTTGGCCGAGATTTTTATCGAGACGAGAATAAAAAAAATAAAAAAAAAAAAAAAAAAAAAATTAAAAACGCCTGCAGAAAGTCAATGCAATACCCGCAATACAGGAGCGTGTTGTAGTTGCGTTTCCTTTGCGAAGGCGTTCTTATTTAATTAATTCTTCAAAAATGTAAACTTTAATTATTTTAATAACATTTGAGAAGTTTTGTTAAGTGTTAGCAGTGTGAGGAATGTTTTATTACTATAAAAAAGTCAAAACAAGTAACTATTTTATAAAAATTAATATTTTATTTTATGATTTATTTTATTTTAGGATAAGTTGAACTCTATCCTAACTGATATCACTATGTTTCCTAATCGTAGGCATTTTTAATAATTTAGGTGTGATTAATAAAAAAATGTTATGCTGATGTTTTTTAATAAAATATAGTAAATATCCTTGCCTATTATCATTATTTTTGTATTTAAACAGTCATCTAACAATGTTACAAAATCAGGTAAAAATTCCGAACGTGCATTTCCCGTTGTGTATGAGAAGGGAAATCCCGTCTCGATCTCGTCTCGAAATTTTATGAGAAATAAAAAATCTCGTCTCGTCTCGTCTCGAACTAAAAATCCAATCTCGTCCATCCCTAATATTTTTTGTTGTATACAGATTCTAGTTTATTTTATGCAGTACTTTCACTCAAAATTAGTTTTACTTTCTTATTTTATGCCAACTTTTTCATGTTTGCTTTATTATTATGGTTTTAAAGTAAATTCAAAATAATTCATTAGTTTCACATGCTCTCGGCATGTTAATATAGGGAAGAAAGTATTGGCATACTTAAAGTACTATTGTTAAAAAGAGCGAAACAAAAATTATTTTGATTAGTTAATTTTCATGAATTGTATATTTGCCTTAGAAACAACAGACTGATCTGAGTTAATCATGAACAAGGCATTATTATACTCATTTTCTAAGTATAAGGGTGACTTTAAGAGTGTGATATTTTAACAAATTACAAGAAAGAAAATGGTTTTGCCTGTGAAATTAATTTTATAAATAGTTATTTTATAAATAAATATGTACTAAGTTATCTGTCTAAAAGTTCAACCAACATCATCTTTGAATATGGATAGAACAGGATATTTTAAAGTTGTAGCCTGTTGAGTTCAGCCGACGGAGTGCTCTGTTGAATAGGCCAACTACTGCATATTATATATGTCACATCAACTATAGGTATTTTGATTTATATTGTAGTAGCATTCTCTGTGTGTGGCCATGTTCTTTTTATTTAATGTCCCTTAGGGAAGAAGCTATTACCGTAGGCGCGGGAAGGCCTAGACCCAGGACCGATTTTTTTTACAATTTTCCCTAAAAGCAAAAACACTATTTGTTCAAACTTTTATATATACAGTGGAACCTTGATAAGAAGACCCTCGATAACAAGTCACCCTTGATAACAAGTGTCATTTTCAAATCCCCTTAAAATTATTTTGCCCCTAATCACATGTTATTACAAACCTCGATAAGAAGTCAACCTTGATAACAAGTCTTATTTTACAATCCCCATGAGAGTCTCGTTATCAAGGTTTTACTGTATTATATAAAATATAATATATATTATATGTTATAATGGGTGACAAAAAAAACCGGACGTTTATTAAACAAGCATTACTCATGTTTTTGTGTATGCAGAAACACCAGTTTGCTCGTTTATTGATAGATTTTGATCAAATTTGGCAAATATATTTATTTTATCCCTTCTATTAGCATTCAACAAAATACATTTTTTCTCCTTTCCTGTTGCAGCAAAGCTAAGTATTTGTAAAATCTAATGCTATTTAAACGGGAGATAAATATGATTTGTTTATAGAAATATTTTTCTTAAAATCCAATCAGACAAATTGAAATTTGTTTAGTATGCAGCTGTGGCGTGGGTGTTTAAATAAAATATCGGCTACAGCTGGTCCATATGGATGACTGGGACGGGTGGCGTCGTCCTGTAATCCAGCTACTAGGAGGTCACAAATTGTGGATATTTATAGGCATGCACTGTGGAAGCGATACTCCCTGGTGTGGATTAACGTCCGCACGAGTGAGTACTACAACTATCTGCAGTGCTATCCTGATAATTAGACCAATTTGTATATACCAAGACAAAAATGTGGTTCGGATTCCACTATAAACTGTAAGTCCCTTAGTTGCCATTAGCTGTATGGGCTATTAATAAACAGCTGTGTTTAAGGAATATGTCGGCCTTGGTCACTAACAAGACTACAAGATCGCGCCACTCATCTCCATTCATACTTGGCTTAAAATACCTACTTTGTATGGTCGCCATTTCATTAAAAAGTATTAAAGCTATGTATATTTCAGTATCCAAAATAAATCACGTTATCCCTGTCGATACCATAATTCACACTTTTAAGAAATAATTATCTGATTTAGTTAAATGTTTTTGTCAGTAAACAGGAGAATGATTTAAACGATTACTGAGAGGAGGAGTGCTATTTGTCCATTCTTTGACAACAATTCCTCGGTCTGTGATATTTTGATAAGTCTAATTCAAAGGATTTCCTGAGATCATGAAACTGCAGCTGCTGAACAACGTACTAGACTGTAAATAGTAACTGACCCATATTTTCTTGATGGTGCGATATTGTTTAATCTCGATTATTTTCATAGATAGGAAGAAAATCTGATATTGGGAGGGATCACTTTTCCTACATTGTATTAGAATGATTCCTGATATTGGTTTCTCTTGCTTCGTGTCCATCTTATTTGATTGAAAATAGCGTAGTCATATATATATGGTTTAAGACTGTGTCAGTGTTCCTGTCGCTGTGCTGTGGTAGGTGCAGGACTCTGCCTATCAGTGTGAATTAGTTTTATAAAGTAAGGTTCATAAAATTGTTTATACATAAACTAAATAACAAGATAAGTTTTGGCTAGGCTAGATTAAACATTCAATTTTTCATTTGGTAGGCTTTATTTGAAATTTCTATTTTATTACTTGTATAAGTTTTGACTTGTTAGGTTACAAAAACCTAAATGTTAAATTATTCTTAATGTTTAATTTAATTTCAAACAATTATATATTTCCAAAAATTATCCTTGTTAAATTCGGATTTGAGCTTTTAATAAAATTCCTGGCTAGTCTTACTAGCCTTAAAAATTACCCAATCCATTCTGCAGTTAAATTACGCCCAGTTGCATTCCCATATTAATACATGCACTACTGGTGACAGAAGTAATTTTCCTTTCCGATATAATTCACCGATCTAATATTTTAGTTACTTGATTTTAGTTATATCATGGAAAATGGTAAATTGGAACGAGATCTGTAAAATTTACTAACTTAATAAAAATCCTATGTGCTTACACTGGTAGGCAGACTGCTTTTCAATGATGTTGGCCACCTCTGCAATGAGCCAAAAAGAGACTTAATGATTTCATATCAAGTTTTTTTAGCGAGTTTAATTGTTGTTTAATCGAGATGAGGTAACGGTTAGGTAAATTAATGACTGTAATGAACTAATTTTAAAAATTAAATTGAGTGTGTTTTGTATAGTTTGAGTGTTTTTATTTTCCTATTTAGTGTATTCAGAAAGTGAGAACTGTTTCATTGCACAGCTGCCGCTGCACAAAGGTAGACATTCTGTGTGTGGGTAGTAGTGTACTTGTATTACAATTTGATAGCTCTATGTGTCCTTTTAACAAATTTCCTATAGGGAAGTAGCTATTATGTGGCACGATAAGACCTAGACCTGGAACCGATTCACTTTTTCCTTTTGATGTCCCCAAGGGCCAAAAACACTATTCGTTCAAATTTGTTTTATATATGTACTAGCAGAGTACCCGTCCTTAGTACGGGGTTGGTGTATAAGCATAAAATTATTACTGCAGTTATACTCGTGATTTGCTTTTGCAATGGGAGAGGACACGGTTTAAGAAAATTTGGTTCTTTTAATTTACGGTATACTATAGTATAGCACATCTACCATAGCTATAATGTAAACAATAGAAAAAAGTTAAACTCTCATTGTGTATCACAGCTTTTTGTTGCTGCTTGGTTCAAATTAGCTTTTGTCATTAATTCAAAAAAGTTAACAGTGCTGCATTGTGCCGATTTTAAATCAAAAGATTCAAAATCCGCGCCAGGCAATGGACAAGTCAGTCCAACATGACGTAACGCGGAAGGATACGAACTGGAAGACCGTTGGGAACCGTGCCGTGTGCAAAGCGTCTCGTCGTCGTCACTCGTGGTTCAGTGCTCGCACAAACAACATGTAAAGTCGCGTTTTGTCGCTGGTGCAGGACGATTATATTAATATCTTCATTCGTAGCTCGGAAATTCGCGTTCGGGCGAAAATTGTACGTGCATCAAATGATCGCAATTGTCAAAATTTCGCCGAATTGCAATTGGAGGTGTGATTTTATTAGTATTAAGTCAAGACAGTTGGGATGCCGGATTGATTGTTCGCGTTCGTGATGAAAATTCGTACATGCATCATATCGATAGCAAATGTCAATTTCTAGCGAATCGCGGGTCGTTGTGACGGTATTTTCAATTGAATCATTAAACGCCAGCTCGAAAAAACAAGAATTAATAAGTCCTACACCAGAAAAAACCGTGTCGTGATATTTCGCTCGGTCAGACAAAAAGTCACAAATCACCACGAGTCAGTTTTTGAATGTTCCGTACGTGTGAATCTTCGTTAGTGTGAATGTGAATGTGTCGACATG